CCCCAAAACCCCAAAACCCCAAGTGACTAAAGATTTGAAAATTAATGTCAATTGAAATAAAAGCAATATCATAAAAATTATTCATCACAATAATATTTCTTATTATATAATCATAGAAATTATATTTTTTAATCTATTGAAATACTTCTTCGTAAATTATCATAAACTTAACATAAATCTATTGATTTAATCAAACCTTATTTGATAAATTTCAAAAATAAATGAAATCTTCTCAACCATTAAACTATTTCAAAATTCTTCTTCTAGGTTCGCTGTTGAACTACAGCACTTCAATTGCTTGATAGAACTGCAACTTAAATGGAGTACAAGAACTTGGGGAGGAGTGTGATAATTGGCACTAAGGTTCTATATTCAATTAAGGGTAATAAATGTTTTGTTCAACTCTTACAGATGTAAAAGTGATTGTCTAATATAGGAAGGATATTACTGCAAGTAAATATTAGGGCAGAGCACAAAATGCAGTGAAAATTGTTATTTAGCGAACCTATAAATTTGCAGAGACCGAAACAAAGCTAGCGGAGATGGGTAAGTAGTTATTTTATTTTATATTATATTAACTATTTATTACTTTCTTGACTTATAAGAATCCTTTTCGGTTTAGTTGTGATGAGAACTGCTAAGTAGAAAACGGATATGTATGCTTCGATTCTGAAAATGGGGAATTTACTTGCAAGTCAACTGTATAATCAACCAACAAAGAAGAGAAAGAAGAATTTTGTGGAAACAATATTCTAGAAATGGGGGAAGAATGCGATGATTCAAATCAAATAAACGATGATGGGTTAGAATTTTCTTTATTTATTCTTCTAGTTGTGATTCAGCTTGTCGCATTGAAAATTCTTATACTATGATCCTATATTCTTAAAACAGCAGAATTCTACAAAAACCATGTCTCTTTGAAGAAAGATGCTTAGATTCTAATTTTTTATCAAAAGATGGGTAAGACATATTTACTAGGCAAGCCTATAAAATTAACTTATGATATAGTTGTGACAGTGATTGCATGACAGAACACGATTATTATTGTATAAGTGATTAAAAGTCTGGAGATTTCTAATGCTATAAACGATCAAAGAATTTAGATGTAAGAATTCAAAGATATTATTTCTTAGAAATCAACATTGAGATCATAAAACTTGGACTCAGCCAAATGCATAAAAGATAGTTAAAGAACAATTGATGAAGAATGTGATGATGGAAATCTGCTTCACAATGGGGGGTGCAACAAATAATGCTAAATATAAGATGGTTATATGTGCACAATAAATATTGGACAAGAATCATAATGCTTTAGAAGATGCGGTATTATGGGAGAAAAATGCTTTGACCATAACAATGAAAATAATGATGGGTAAGATGATAATCTGATATTAAAATACTAAATCTAATTTAACTCTTAATTTAATAATCAAGCATATTAATGGCAAATTTATAGATGTGATTCATTTTGCTACGTAGAAGAGGGATTTAGTTGTTTTTCATACAAAAATGAATATGAAGAGCATGATATGAGATGCCGAAAATAATAGTCTATACCATCAACTTCAAAATCTCTCACAAAAGATATCATTAGTCATAGAATCTTAGAATAAAGTGTAGATAACTCTAATTCTCAAAGGGACTTAGAATCAAGTGCTGGACGCGGCCTATCTACAGCAAGTCTTTGCATGAATGGTGTCGTAGATTTCGGTGAAGAATGTGATGACGGAGACCCTTAATCAAATTTGTATGCACTTGCACCATTTAATGTTAACGTTTTAGTTGCAATAGTGCGTGTGGTATGTGGGCAGGATATGCTTCTTTAGTCGTAGGGTTAGGATAATAGTCGTAAGAAGTTTCATAACCTCTTTAATATGGACCAGGCTAATGTTTTGATAATAACATCGATGTTACTGATGGGTAACATTTTCTTTAATCTATATAACATTTCAGTATCGATTCTCTGTGCTTTCTTGATCCGAATTTTTTCTGTTTTATTACTCAAATTGTATCTTCAACGCAAGTACATTCTTGATGCTTTAATATATATACTTACGATGTAAAATATATTAGAATTGTAACTGTTTATAGGAAGAGATACCTACTTTGAGTCCAGCTCCATCCACCACCTTGTCTGCATTTAACGCTGGTTGTACTAAAAATGGTATTTTGACTTTAAGTGAGGAGTGTGACGATGGAGATGTCACTCATTCAGGAGGGTAACATATTTTTCTTAACTAATTTTCCTCTAGATGCGATTCTAACTGTAGAGTTGATTATGGGTGGACTTGCGTCAATTTAATGGGTAGCTAATCGATATGCTTCTAGTCATGCCTTGAGTTTGGCTTCTAGTGTCTTGATCGAAATTTTTAGAACAACGATGGGTAAGATTAGTGCTCATTTTATTTAAAAATAGTTGTAATGAAATGTGTAAAGTAGAACGAGGTTATCGTTGTATGGCTAATAGAGTTAGTTCCACTTAATTGGAGGAAGGTTCATTCAAGTGTAATCCTACAATAGCTCCTACAACAACTCAACAGCAACAACAACTGAAGCAGCTACAACAGCACCATCGACAACAGAACTTGTACCAACGACAACAATATCGGCAACAACTACAGGGCCAGAGCCAACTACAACCGTAGTTATATCGACAACAGATGCGACAACAACTGTAGCTCCTTCTACAACTACAAATGCTCCAGCTTCAACTACTACAGTAGCCTAAACTACAACATCTCAAGCATCAACCACTACTGTAAGTTTTATTGTTTTTATTCTAATTAATAACTCCAATTGTGCTACTAGACCATTTAATCATTTATTTAGACTAATACTAAAACAACTGTCTCTACTACAACAACTACTACCACTACCACTACAACAACTGAACCACCAGTAGTAAAATAATGCTAAGAAGCTAATAGCGTTTTTGATATTACGTCGTAACTAGCTGAAAATACTGGAGAATCAGTTTCATGTAGAGGAATGACTGTTTGTCCTGATGGATCAAATCCCCCTTGTACATGGACAAGAAAAATTGCAACTTAATGCTCTAATACTTAAACTAATTCAGGAAGATCTCGAGAGTTACAAATGAAAAATAGTGCAATCTTCAGAATGAAGACAAATTCATTGCCAAATCATTGCTTCTAGTCTTCTTAGAATCAAGTTAAGGAGAACATTATTGACTTTTAAGTAATTTTCAAAAACAAACCTCGCAATAGTCTTGGAGGAGACAGATTACTCAACGATGAGGATGAAAATTAGTCAGACAATTCAATGTTCAAAGGAGATAATCAATTTAGTGTTAACTATGCTTTGTGCACAGGATCTTGGACATCAGTTGGATCAATATTATAAGTGAGTCCCTCTTATTAAGAATTTTCTGGAATTATGGAAAATATTGTTGGTATAGCTTTAAACGGAGTTCCTATCCATATTGGTAACTCAGAATATGGGTCAGATGTCTTTTATCCTAAGAAGTTTGGAGATAAAGCTTATAGTGAAAAAACGGTCTAACTAGATTAGTGTTTAGGAAGCTCTGAAATATCTGGGTTTTATCATTATTATGGATGGTCTCCTTGTATACTCCCATCTGGCCCAATAAAAAATAGAGATGCACAATTCTGCAGAAACATTCCAGCTTGTATTTAAGATTAACTGGGCTACTCATTGTCTTTCTTGTCACCTTAAGAGAAGACAATAATGATTATTGGTATTGCAAGAGATGGGCATTCGATACTTGGACCTTACAAAAGAGATGGAGAATTATGGTAGCCTTGCGATGTAGATATGTGTAATGGAGTTGAGATTGCTGGTATTTACTATTACGTTACAACAATGTTCCATCCTTATACAGTTGGATGTTGGG